AACTAAAATAACTTCTATATTTTCATTAAACCACGAGTGTAAAGACTGTGTGTAAGCCATATAATATAGGTACACAGACAACTTATTGAAAATAACGAATTATTCACGTGAACTAAGTAAGAAAAGCTCTACGTACTAGTTTCAAGCCATAACGGGGCTGTTATTCATGAGCGAGAGCATCGCAGCGAAGTTGCGCAGCCGACTGCGTCTCACAATAGTTACTCGTCTGCATTCTGTCACATCTCAACAACCTTTTTGTTGCGCTTCTATACCAATACTATCCTAACACCTCTGTTTCTTTTAAATATAATATGAAAGAAAATAATTTAGAGCCAAATGTGTAACAGATTATATTACTTATATGTCATAAAAAGTATAAAAACCAATTAAACGTCAGCACAAAGATCAAAGCACATAATACATACATAATAATATTGTGTTATGTAGACGCTATGCTTGGTATTGCAAAAACCTACTTCCATATATACCCATCTATGTACGGTTTCTATGTTAAGTCCGAGACAATGCCTAGACATGGTTACATACCTAATTAATTGCCTATGTATTCTCAATAACTGTGGCATGTGGTTATACGTATATAACTGTTTACCAATTAAAATGCGCCATGTCCATGTAAGCATATCACGAGAGCAAATCCCATTAAAATATTTTCTATCAGAAATCTCCTTTTTTATTATAAGTGTAGTGCGCCCTCCAGCTAGGTGGACTGAAGACATCCGCAGGGTAGCTGGCAGTGGTTGGATGATAACAGCTGAACATCGAGCTCAGTGGCGTGTAATTGGGGAGGCCTATGTCCAGCAGTGGACGACAAAAAGCTGATGATGTGATGTGATTAAAGACCCATTGTGCTGATAATAAAACTGGTGGCGAACTAAGGAGTGGAATTCTTTATCCGATTCTGTATTCCCCAAAGGATGTCTTCAAGGCCCAAGTGAATAGGTTGCTTATGAATAGACGTGCTCCATCGCATGTCGCATCATCAGTTACCGTGATAGCGGATAGCGTGATATTAATACATTACTAAATTTAAAAATATAATATTGCCAGCAATGTACTTGTAAGTTTTTAGCGTTGTGTGTCCACGGGTTGCACCGGTTGTTCCTGCTTGCTCTTTCGTTGATCTGTCCCATAAAAACTGCGAGTTAGATTCGCGCGGGAAACAATCCATGGCCTTTACAGAAAAAAAATATTAATAAAATCAAGCAAAAATAATTTATTCCAATTAGACCCTTACAGGCACTTTTGAACGCCAAACAAAATTTTGAAGTCTGTCGGTCAGTCCTATTTGCTCGTTCCAAAGTGTAGATTCCGATGGAGAAGAACGAGCAAGAAACTCCATTCCACTCCAATGGAGTACATTACATTAAAAGAACCTATGTAAAAAAAGAAGTCCTATTTTTGTTCAACAAAGTAACTTTTAAAACAACGATATACAGCTAATACTTAAATACATAATAGGTAATAAAGGAAACCCGAAAGCGGTGAAATATTCCTTTCGGATTGTTACACAATCCGTTACGCGATCCATGCATTGCCTGCCATGTGATATTGTCCACGTTATTGTTGCTAACTTTGCTGCTCCGGCCTTGTTAGTTGGCACCTCATTGTTCTAACTTAGTTTAAATGTTTTTACAGATTTAGTGGAGATTGGGAAGTTTAACTGTTGTGGCTAGTGGCTAGATTTGTTTTTGTTGGATATGGCCTAATATTTGTTTCTCCCAAAGAGGTGGATTCCTGGATTGTGCATTGATGTTGTTTACGTATACATATAGCAGTGCATTAAGTACACCTATCCTTTCCCTATAAGGTAGACTAGCTTTCGCCCGCATGGTTTGTTGATAAGAAGCAGCCTATGTGTTATTCCAGGTAAATCGGTTCTGCCATTTTTGGGTGAAAGTATAACAAACATACATCCACACATTATCACAACAACGTTTCACATTTATAATATTAGTAAAAAATAGGATTATAGACAACCAGCTACTCTCGCGTGGTTTCACACGCTGCTCGGCTCCATTTAATCGAAGCGTGATGTTCCATGGCCTATAGCACTCAGAACATTGTAGCTGTCTATCAGTGAAAGAAATTCTTTCACAAAATTTTTTCTTTCTTTTTTCAAAAATTTTCCAAAGATCAGGTATATATAAAACTTACAAACATACAAATTTTACCTCTTTATAATATTATAAGTAATAAGTACTTAAAAGACGCACGTTTTTAAGATACCTCCAACTTTTCTGGGTCTTGCGAAATTCTGAGCTTCATACCTATAATAATATATGTTTGTGTACTTAACATAATTATAAATAAACAAAATACTACCACACCATGTACCAACCTGTCAGCGCACAGGTTGAAATTATATTTTTAGTGGCAATAGCATTTTTCGTGTCATCAAACTACGGGAGTGAAACAGCAGTTTTAAACTTATCAGCAATTGAATAATTATTTATTTTTATATTTTTAACAACAACAAAACGACATTGTCTTGTTTTAATTAAATCTTGATAATGATCAGATATAAGGTAGATTTTTAGTCAGTAAGAGTCTGACATTCCCTCTCGTGGGGCGAGAGGGAATGTCAGACTCTAGGCCTAGAGAAGTCATATGATGATATTTCCGCTAAAACATGCAGTTTAAAACTTCTACCCTTTTTTTTTTTAATAGGTCGGCAAACGAGCCGACGGATTACCTGATGGTAAGCAATCAGCGCCGCCCATGGACACTCGCAACGGAGGAGTTACGAGTGCGTTGCCGACCTTTTAAGGATTAGGGATTTGGAGATTTAGGGATTTAGGAGGGATTGGGGGAGGGGAAGGATTGGGCCTCCGGTAACCTCACTCACACGGCGAAACACAACGCTGTGGTTATTTCACGCCGGTTTTCTGTGTTACCCACGAGGAAGTGGACAGTAAAACTTATCCAAATGGCTTTTTAAGTCTCTGAAACAATCGACATCCGGAAGTCGCTAACTAAAGCAGGATGCTACAAACTAAATTGTTACCATGAGTAGTCACGCCCACTGCCCAGTATTCGGGCTCGTTGTCGAGCGCACGTGGCTACAGCACGTGACATGCGCACACGCACTTGACCTAAAACCACTGAATAAATAATTACAGAAGGTATAATTTATGAAAACAATACACATAGTCATAAACAGATTAGTTTATTGTAGTTTAAAAATACACACAAGGTTTTGAAAATCCGATTCATCGTTTGTTTCTTTAACGACTTTCAGCTTAGAATATTATTTTAGGTCAATGAATGAACTTAAAATATGTAAAAATAGTTTGTTTCTTCCATTGTCATGTTTATTCTTAAGCTACCTCTTTATCACATTACAATCCGTTAAGCAGTGAAGAAAGCAAGTGTATTTACTTACTTATAATAAACTAAACCTTTTGCAAGTCTGTTTGTATGCGTGAGCGCAATGGCCTGGGGAATGACCTTGTCGGCGCATGTGTGTAATACTTGTAACTAGTAGGTGTTTGCCGACCCACCCTTGACTACATAATCACACTACCACAGCCTGAATGTTGAGTTCTTAAAATAAATTACACATGTTTCAATATGTACCCAAATTACTCAGTCCATTGTTAATAATTTTTATTAATAGTAAGCATAATTAAAATAAATACAGCTTGATTTAATATTTACACAATACGCCACGAAATCGGTAGGTATTAACGCTAAAAAAATACTTAACATAAAAATTATTTTATTATGTAGTATTATATGTATTATTTATTATTTCATTTTGTAGTTAGTACCTATAAACTACGCTAAGCATAAATATAGTATATGATTTTAAAGACTAAAATACTTATTGACCTAATCCTACTTTTTCAGTTGTGGCATCAGACCCCAGTTAATTTTTTTAGTGTAATGTAATGTTTGTAATGTAATGTAATGTAATGTAATGTTTGTAGTGTGTAAAACTACGCTAAGCACAAATCAAGCTGCAAATTCTGTTTCTCAAGATGATAAATTAATTCACCCCAAGCGAACGCCGGCGTTCGCGCACCAATTTTTATTTATTCTTCTATTGTATTTCGAATTACCGCGATTGAAAGAATGTATAGTTATTGACCTAACGCTACTTTTTCAGGCATCAGCCCTGAGTGCTTACAGAAGTAAGTAGGTATATCTTATCGACAAACTGACTGACCAATATTTACAAGTAGGTACCTTCACACCTACCTATCAAGTATCTGTAAATATTAGCCAATGAGTTTTGATCCATCTTAATAAGTAATTGTTAGTAAGTATTCTAAACAAGCTGCAGAGCGATCTCTCCTACAATTTTTATTCTTATTCGATTTTGGTCTACAATGCTAAAGCCTGCATAGCTTTTAGCGAACAAGTTAAATAGTACCAACGTAGATAAAACCCGTCATTGCTTTTGCGAACTAAATAAATTTGTAGTACTGTAGTACCAAGGTAATAATTATGTAGGGTTAGTTACCTAAGTACCTACCACATTTTTTCAGTAAGCAAATGACAAATGAATCATTAGCATAATAAAGCAGGCAACAGACTAAGTAAATACCATTAACTGCATCACGTTTTTGTAAACAAGGTGTGTAATTAAAAATTAATTGTTTTCAGTGTCACAAGTCACAACTGATCTGTGGTAATAAACCTACAAAATCGACCTCGGACTTTAGGCCAATGACATTTTAAACCATATCATTTGCCACTTAGGCGATTTCTATAGATACATGTATGTCCTATGCGATAAATGTTAAGTCGGAACTTCAAAAGATAATTTTCAAGTGTGTCCTTTCGAGAGTGACGAACTTACAACCTGAAGTTACTTAAATGCACAACTACGGACATCTGTTGTGTTTAAAATAAAATTAATATAATTAATTGAGAAAAGCGCCATCTCGTGTTGAGTAGCATAGGTTATATCACCACCTCACCACATCCACCACTTGTCATTGTCAGTTGCGTTGTCAATAGGTAGAAGTTTATTTATTTTTACTCAATTAACATTCTGTTTATTATTTAGGATTTATAACTAATTAATTGTAGATATAAAATACAAAAATGAAAGCCCTTATTCAACGTGTCATGAACGCTAAAGTTACCGGTGAGTTAGTGTACAAAATTATTTGAGGTTATATTTTGATGAAAATATTACATTACTTAGAAAAATATCAATGAAAACCATTATTAACACATTATTAGCGTTATGTTTACACGTTAAGACGACCCACTGACCCGTTTCTTGTTTACGACTATTCTGTATAGCTTTTTTTCACCGAAAGCGATGACCACAACTTTTTAAATTAAAATTTTGTTTTAATAAATATATTTTTTACAAATTCACAGTAAATGATGAAGTTATTAGCAGTATTGGGCAAGGAATTTGTGTCTTCATCGGAATATCGAATACCGACAGTAAAAAGGATATGGAATATATGTAAGCTACATATTAATATACTTAATTAGTCCTAAAAACTCCAGGTTAAAGAGCTCATGTCAGCAAATGCTGCTATTAAAAAATGTTTTAAAAATGGTTCTAAAGTAAAAAATGTTTTTTTTTTTAATGGCTGTATGTACTTGTGATTGTCATAATCTAATTAATATTTTTCTTAAGTACTTTGTAAAAGCTGTTCTTAGACAAACTGGGTACTCCTGGCCAGTTGTTGTAGGCCATTTACTATACCTACAAAAATTGGAATTAAACTATTCCATAGTTTTCATACTATTACTATGCTATAATTATAGCTGATCTTTAATGATATAATCAAATCAAACAAACACTAAATCTAATTTCTCTTCTAGTGATAGACTAGAAATTCTTATGCAAGTGTTCCACCAAATTGCTTTTTAAAAAAAAGGTCTCATAAATTAAACCATTCTTTTACAAAATGTGAATAGCTGCTATCTAGCAAAACAATTCAAATATAATAATTATGTATAATGTAATTTGTATGAACATACCTATGATGCCACAAAAATTTATGGAGTATCTAGGTATGCAAGATTATTTCATTTTAGAATTCTTTCATTTAAAAAATAAAGCGGGAAGTATTTTACTTTTAAGTACTTTAATTTTAATTTGTTAAATTGCAGTGTACGGAAATTACTAAGCATAAAGTTATTTGATGATGAATCTGAGAAGAAATGGAAGAAAAGTGTATCAGACAGAGATTTTGAAATACTCTGTGTTAGTCAGTTTACTCTCTACAACACATGGAAGGTAAGGAATACTTATTTTTATCCTATTCTTATTCACAATACAATATTAAACTTCCCAGTCTGGGTGTAGGTACTGTGTATGTGAAATTATGTGTTTGTAAACAGAACTATGACACAGGAGAAAATTCTAGTATAGGGCCTCATAGAGAGAAAAATAACAAACAAAAAAAAATACAATCAAATTGAGAACCTCCTCCTTTTTTTGAAGTTGGTTAAAAAATAACTTATTTGGCATAGCATCCCTTATTTGAAATTTGCAAATATGTACCTACACACGTTATACTATATGCTATACTCTACATATACACCATCAACGAAGAAGTTTTTGGAACTAACAATTAGGAATTATTACATATGAGTAATGTTATTTATTGCAGGGTAATAAACCTGACTTCCACAATGCAATGCCAGGTGACAAATCAAAAGAATTTTATGAAAACTTCCTGCAAATGTTGAAGGCTGCTTACAAACCAGACAAAGTTAAAGGTACCTAGATTTTTTTTTTCATTGGTCAAAGTTTGATTATTATGACCTAAAAATTGATTATTCAATTTAAAAATGTATTTATATTTAAACCAGTGTTCCAGATTAAAAAACCCATAAGCTATATAATATTATTATAGGTATACCTACCTATCTGCCTATATATTAAAATATCCCTTAATTTGTATCAATTCTGTAGTTTTTTTATGTCTCAGGTCGACAAACGATCGGACGGATTACCTGATGTTAAGCAATCAGCGCCGCCCATGGAGACTCGTAGTACCAAAGGTGTTACTACAAGTGCGTTGCCGACCTCTTGTGGATTATTAGGGATTTAAAGATAGGGGATGTGAGGGTTGATGACGGTGGGGAAGGATTTGGTCCTCTGGTAACCTCACTCATACGGCAAAATACAACGTAAGTTTTGCTTCACGCCGGTTTTCTGTGAGGGCGCTGGTATCACTCCGTTCGAGCCGGCCCATACGTGCCGAAGTATGACTCTCCCACAGTTGAACTACTTGAACTTGTAACAGATTTAATTTACATTAGTGAATCCTCACAAGCTTTCACATTTATAATAATGTTAGTAGAATTTGTTCTGAGCTCTAGTCTAGCTGTCGCCACTAAGGGGACTGATGATGATAATAATAATGTATTAATGATGACATCCTTGTTTCAGACGGCAAATTCGCAGCCTACATGCAGGTAAGCATACAAAACGACGGCCCAGTGACGTTCGAGATAGAATCTCCAGCCAGTCTGCGCAATCCTAAGGAACGAAATGGCACCAAAGCGGAAAACAAAGAGATTCAAGAAGATAATTTAGATTGAAGATATTATTATAGGTAGAAACTGATATTATAATTGATATTATTTATAAGCAATAAATTATTTTATAAATTGTTGAAAGTAAGTTTTTGTTTTCCAAACCGATTTTTATCTGTGGTCCTTGCGAGTTATAGTCATATTCATATTTTTACTATTTTATTTTTGAAGGGTAAAATCTAATTACTTATTTCGCCCTGTGTGGGGCGAGAGGGAGTACCATGCTCTTAATTATTAAAAACCCTTTCCTTCTACTGATTCGGGTCGGGGCGGTAGTACATTCTTACGTTATCCCCGCACCATCGCCACCATATATCTACTCCTACCCCGGGTGTTGGCTCTCGCTGGATTCGAAATCGCCTTCCGTCGGAGGTTGTATTTGGGATCCATGGCCCTATACGGAGGGCGTGTGTTTAAAGTTGTATCCCGTGTATAGGCGCCGGATTTGAGCTGGGGCCTCGAGCAGAAAAAGAACGGGTAGGGGGCGTTCTCAGAATACAGAACAAACCAGAATCCGCGTTCACTCATAATTACATGTCGTCAAATGTGTCCAAAAACAATACGTCAATCCCCCCGCCAGCCGCACTTCCCACCCGCGTAGTGTTGCCGACAGTGGAACAATTCCCTTGGTTTGGGGTAATTTTACAACAGGAGGGTAAGATACGAGTAAACCCAACAAAATAGGTTACGATAAATGCAACAGACTAGTTGTTCACACATTTCATAGAGGTATCATAAAAGTTGACGATTTCTGGCTGTGTTAATTTTAGTTACACCATAAATAAAATAAAGCTTCAATAAATAAAACAAACGCTTCAATAAATACAACAAATAAAACAAAGGTTTTATTGCGTTCCCTTTTGCTAGTTTAGTTTTTTTATAATATGTATTGTCTTTAGACTCGGAACTAAAGATTAGAAGTCTACTTACTTTACTTAGTTTCTAAGATAAGCGCATTCTACCGAACAAACAAACTCTTCAGCATTATAATTAGTATAGATATATCTTAGTAGGATATGCTGTTTTCAAACCACCTTTGTCATAAATATATCTCTTCAAAGTGAATTGAGCAAACTATGCTCTGGCTAGATGGTTTCCAAAATTAATCTAACCGTGCCCTTTTTATGATTTGTATTTTTTGTTTGTCAGGGAAACTAATATGACATTGGCTCCATAATGGACAAAAATATAACCCACAACAAATAAATAAGTGGGTAAAATTTTCACCAAGAATGACAACACTCACAAAATGGCCGCATCATTTTCATAGAAAAATAAATCGATAAAAAAAAATCAATAATTAATTAAATATACTATTGCAGTCGATGCTTGCAGATGAAATGTAATCTTATCCACTTTTTTCGTAATTCCAGTCGCATTTTTACTCGTAGTAATAACACAAGACGGCATAATGAAATTAAAATTGATACTCGTAAATACGTCACGGCATGCCACGTGCCAAAATTGACTAATCGTAGAAATTTCATACTATTCTAGTTGAGAATGGTTTTAGTTGCTTCTGTTTGAAGCGCGATGACGCCTTCTGGTTTGTTCTGTATTCTGAGGGGGCGTTATGCCGTGATTTGTGCCGTCAATGTACAAGGAGGGGTTCACGATTCCAGAATCACTTCATGGTAGAAATTTTGATGCAAAATGGAAAAATCTTACATTACAAACATCCTTCAGTTAAATTTATAGTTTAAAAATTTGTACTGACTTCATTTTGAGGTATTAAAATAAAAACAACAATAAAATAATTAATAAAAAAACTTTATTTTGAAATAATGGTTATTATCTATTAACATTTGTTACAATTAGGCCAGTGATTATGCAATTCATGTTAGATAAATATTAAAAAGTTTTTACAAAGTTGATATGCCTACGCTACCTCTATCGGACTGTCTCAGCGACACCGCTAAGCATAGTACATCATACTTCATGCACACATACTTGATCATCTGATCATGTTAACAGATAATCTACCAAAAATTCAAATCCGTCATTACATTAATTTCTAAACGAGTAGAAAATAAACTAAAAAATAAAATAAACTCGTATAAAAAGTTTAAATAAATGCATTTTATAAATCCCTCTATTTAAATATTAAGATAATGAAATTCAACAAATGAGATTAAGGACCCTTATGCAGTGTCGAATATTAAAGTTTATGTTAATTAAGTTGTATCAATTAGCTGGAGTGCCGCATGATTACTATTTCTATACCGCGAAATATAGATATATAATCATAAATCTTCATGCTTAGTACGTTACGCCTACACAAATGTACATCAATTCTTACAGAATTTCCCTCGTCTTCGATCAAGGCACTAATCGTTTTGGTATATTGCTGATACGTTTCCTCACTCCTAAATTCACAATATCAATGAGTTAACATATTCGTACAAGTGTGAAAAGAGTACAATTTCAAGTTCTTAAGATAATTCAACGCACAACTCGGAAATCATAAATGAAACTGACAATGATATTGTTAGATCGCGCGATTCTACAGTCCTCTGATTATGATTTCCAACTTCTACGTTGCGAATCTATTAACTTTACAATAACTATCGAATATTACTATTACAAAAATATCTATTATCTATTCTAAATTATTCAAATGATGAAACTGTTACTGGGATAGGCTAAGGATGTAATTAACAACATATACCCTTCCAAAATTGTATGGACGTTGCAATTTACGTGTGCATTAATTTAATGGCGTTACTAGAATTTGCCAATACTACCCAAATTTAGTTGATTAAAGAAATAATAGGAAGTGAACTAAATGCATTTTTCATTATGTACCGTTAAATATATTTTAAAGTCGTTGCTTCATTCGAGGTGTGTCTCAGATCGAGGAAGACTGGTTCAGTCTGCCACGACCTGAGACAAGAAATAAATAGAGCCTATTGTTATCGCGGGTTCGTTTAATGTGTCCCCGAATGGAGCACTGGCTTTACAATACAATCGGTCTCGCATGCCGATAGCTGGGCGGCGACTGTGGAGTCTGGTCTTTCGCCGCGTGAGTGGTGTAGGTGGGTCGTCAGTAGGGGGTGTTGTCTACCAGAGGCCGGAGGAGTAGCCGCCGGGCGGCACGCGGCTACTGTTGCTCATTAGGCTATTGCCGTTTATTGACGTCACCGTGTTGATCTGGCCGTTCATCGATTTGTAGCCGTCACCGGTGATTGGGTTACCTTCTGAAAACAGTAAATTGGTCTCGTTAGCATTCTCATTACCAGTGCTAGCGTACATCTAAAGCAACTGTGTTACTTCAGTGGAACTTTAATATTGTGAGAAACATCTAATGAAATGGAACTTTTCGAAATAGGTTTTGTAATAAAACTACTGTAGATAAAATTATAATTTCCACCATGCAAAAATTGTGTTATATATACCCTAACTACAAATTGTAAGACCTACAAACAATAACGATTTAAAATACTCATAGTTTACAATACAGCAGTAAAAGATACAATGGATAAAGCTAATAGAAGATATCAACATTACCTAAGTATTTAAATATTAAGCCAAAGTACCTATTGAAACAAAACTAAACCTACAAGTAATAGAAAGAAGAAATAGGCGACGTGCGTAAGAGGAAAGTCAAACCGAGTTTGGCACGTATTTACACAACTTGTACACAGTACAACAACGAATACTCGACAACATTACAAGCAGGAGACGGTAATAAGCGCTATTAACATCACAAGCCTACACTGCTTCACTAAGAAGAAACGGTCAAACTAAACCCTAGTATGAGCAAATCATAAAACGGCTATGGGTGCTCAATTTAAAAACACCAAGGTATCGTTCTTCTTCGGTATCTTTATATGTATGTACAGCAAATCAAAAGTGGTAAGCTCCCTCCGATGGTCTCGTGTGGTTGACAAATTTCATCAGAGTAATTGGTGCGAAAACAACAGCATTCCTCCAGTGTAAACTGAGCACCCACCCATTTCTCTTCGGCGGACATAGTCTACAAAGTACGTCTTAGGTCGGAGGTCCTCTGCATGCCGATTGCGATCAAAAAGGTATCCGGGGACGTGTTTGTGGAATATAGGTGGGAAACCGGTCAGAGTGTGCGGCCCGGGGACTAGCGCAGTCTGCAGGGGGACCACGTCGGGAATAGGCCCGTCGCGCTCGTATTTAAACAGCGTCGGTGGAGGATCAGTATTAGCTATCAAATAGGGATCTATGGGCCCATCCAAGGTGGGAATTGGATCGTACTTGTAATCAGGAGTAGGCCTCTCGCCTAAAGCAGAATGCATTCCAACGAATGCGTAGGGTGGCAGGGGATGATATGGAATCTTATGTTCTTTTGGCTCTAAATAGTGCTGAGCTGGGAACGGAGGCCAGTGGCGGTTGAGAACAAGTTGGGGTGACAAAGAATCTGGGTCTATAACGGGATGTTCAACTTCTGGATCATCGGTTTCCAAGCCGAGGAGTGTGTATGGGGTTATTCTTGTGGTGAGACTGGGTTTCATGGTGGACTCTACGTAGTAGTTGGCGGGTTTCGGAGGCCAGTCGCGAGTGAAGTATCTGTGGGTGGGTTGTGGGTGTAGGAGCTGGGTGTGGGGATCGTCGGGGTCGGCACCTCGCAGGCTGGCGGCGGGGTGGCGGCGGCGCAGCGGCGGCACGGCCACTCCATCGCCTGTCACCGGATTCCTCTTCGGTGGAGCGTACGATGCTACCATTCACAGAACAATTGGTTTTCATTCGATCTACCACACTAGTGGGGCCTAACATTTTATAAAGATCTGGTGAGACACTGTAATGCTTAACGTATCCAACGCTTAAATATATGTATTGATTATCAATGTTTCTCGTGCAATAACAAACACTATAGGTAGTTAATTGTTATTGTAAGTAATGTTTTGTTATATTATTAATATTGTATTACAAATTATTTCAGTATTCGTATTAGAATTAAGTTTATAATTATTGTGTAATCATGCTTCATTCTAAGCAAAGCACATTTCGATTGTTTTAATCGTTATATCGTAATGGTTGTTTGTAATGATTATTACAATGTATGAGTCGTATTAATTGGAATTATTGTAGACATTAATCGTGAATAGAAGTGAAGAAGGAATTCAGAGCGTAATTTTATTGAAATAAATACTTATACATAGTAGTAGTAGTAAGCAGCGTTTTCTTCCTAGCGTGCACGAGTGCCAAATGTTTGGAAGTGAACACGATCCGAGAATATCGCACGAAGACTCGCGAAATGCTTACAAAAAACAATAAGAACAGAGCACAGCGCAGTTTCTGTGAACGATTATCATTCAAAACATGGAATGGATACTTGGATAGTTCTACCCACTAATCGCATGGATTTACATTTGTAAACTAACACGAAACATTATTACGAATGACTTTCCGGTCCGATTCAATTGATTGCTGTCCAATTATTTTAATGGACGCGCATAGGCTTTAGGCTTAAAACAGACATCGTGTTGGGCGATTAACGACCGTAAAATTATACAGAAAGTTCACAAAGACGTTATTAAGTTACAAACAAGTACGTGCAATTAAAAATGTTACTGCGCTTAAGAGATAATTTTGGGTATGACTTAATTGGTATCCATTCCATTCCGTGCATTTATGATTGCTCAGACGCCAGCAGATCAAGTTATCCTGAGTTGAGAAATGACTTTAAAATATGCTTTATCTTATCAGTAATTTAAATCAAAGAATTTAGCAAAATCTTTAGTAGTTTCAAGACTTACTACCGAGATGAATAACCGAACTCTAATCTCTAGAGAAAACATATCGAAAATAGATCTCGAAATCCTAACTTTTGGTAGAGTGCGCATATTAAAATCATCCGTGTATAAGTACAAGTAGTCTCGGATCCGTGCCGTTTCCGTGAGCGTTACTAGCCGTGCTCGTTTCGTGCCTACATCTGTATCGACTCACAGTGTCCACCGAGGCCCATCTCACCTCGGCTGGGAGTAGAGGTCGCACTACCGTTGCCCATCTTCGAAGGAGAGTGTGTCGGGCTTGATCCGTTCATCTCAGAGTCCCCAAACTGAATGTGACTGCGGATTGTGTCAGTCACCATCGGAGAGACCGGGTTGTTTACAGCCTGAAACATTTTTGACATATGTATTAGTTGCATTGCAATTATGAGATAAATCTAACATTAAATCCAATTTATTTCTTCGTGACGAGTCTCAATCTCCCCAACAACGAATGCGGTGCATAAATATTACCTATATAAGCATTTCTATTCTGATGTAAGTTCGGGTTACTTTCACCCTGCAGAGTAAGTTTGATTTACTAATTTTAACCAATAATAACCGAGAACAAAACGTATACATAGGTAGGTGACCAAATTAGGTATATGACCAAAGCTTTTCATTGGTTAAAAGATTGGATCAAAGTAAGCCGAACTTACAGTATTTTAATACTGTTACAATAACCACAAATTGCCGAATTCAATACTCAAAATCTATCTAACCTAATAATTGTCCAAATATAGTTTATATTTAGACAATTAGAGACACACTACATCAGCGCAAATAGCATCCATTCTATCATCATCTATACAAACCCCTACTATAGTGTCTACCTTAATGAAAATATCTGTAGCGAGGCACATCCCTAAGTGTGTTGTCACAGGATGTTATAAGTCTATGACACCACTTTGATATCGATTTAGTTTTACCGTTCAAGTAATTGACGCGTCATTAGACCACCCCGTCATTCGCCGTGGGTGTTGTGTCGCTTCGCTTTTAAAAGGGAATTGCATCAAAGTAATCATCTTTTAATTAATGTTATGCTACTATGTCGCGTGTTATAAGGACCTGCTTGCTTCATACACCTACGTAGCTGCGGCAGCCGATGGAGCTCTCATTACATTTTACACTAAAAATAAGTAGGTAAGTACCTACTTGTAAATATAAGACCAAAGTAAAACTTGTTCCGATTCTTAATTATGACACTAATGTGCGCAATTTGTTCAAAAATGTAATCTTTTGTTCACGAGGCTTTTAAGTAAAAGACTAAAACAAAATAAATTAGATTTCCTAAAAGAAAGCTATGGTCTTCAAGAATAAATCAAGTACCTAACATATTTTGTTTTTCTGACTTAGAACACAACCTAGTTAAAAGTTATCTATTCATATATAATACAAACAAATTACAAGAATATACCTAAACAACAGTAATAGAAACCCATATAAATATGTATATCCTAACTACATCAATCAATCAACAAAATATTCTTCCAATCGGAGCGGACTATTCTGCGCTGCGAAAAGCCGAGCACCGCTCAAAAGCTTAGTAATGTAAAAGTAAACCTGATTATGCGTACTTGTGTTTGACGCACCTGTCCGAAGAGCCTGGAGTGCGTGTCTCGAGGGCGAGTAGGAGTGTCGCGCACCACGCGGGGCTTGGCTGCACCATTCTTCACTGGGCTGCCATCAGTCTGGTCCGCGTTGAAGATCTCCGCAATGCAGCTCTTGGGCGCATTTGGCACCCTGGAAGAAAAAGTACAAGAAAGTCAAATTACGCATTCAACAAAAAAAATATACACAATTTTTATTCCGTAAAAGAGCACATCATTGTTTAATTGAGGATAAGAGCAGTAGGGAAATTTAGACAGACTCCAAATTTTGTCTAAATTTTAGGCCTTAGTCTATTAATTATTTACGGCTTAACAAAATCAAACGAACATGAATTATAAACACGACACATCTAAAGCTTTATCAAACCAACTTACTTTTGATTTACGTTTTCATTGCGTATTAGTATTTAAAGATATTTTAGCCCTTCGTCATCCCAACCCTCGGTTTCAAAGCCGAAACAAAATCGAAATTCGATACACGAATGCATTAACATTTAATACATGTAATGACATGCAACTGGACACGGCACGGAGGACATCCCTACCTGACCAGTGGGCGAGGGGACCGCTTCCGGTTTCGAGGGAACACTTTCATTTCCTGATCAAATCGTAATTTGAACTGAGGGGGTTGCCGCTTTACGTAAATATCATGTTTGATTGAGGAACATTTCATTTCAAAGTCATTCACTTGGAAAATGTGTATATTTACATAGAAACATTATTCAGCTTTAGCTTTAGATTTTTAGAAATGCCTTCTCATAATACTCATTGAAAAAGGCAAGAAGTCTCAAAATTACTTAAACTTGATAAAAAAAATAAAGCATTTTATGGTCTCAAACAGACATCACAAAATTCCGTAGCAACTTTAAATAACAACAAAAGTAATTTAACTTTTACTTTCATTGTATGAAATAAAATACTTTTATTGCAGCTGCATTTTCGCAAAGCAGCTCTCATTAACTAACTGTAAATTCTGTGAAATTTATTTCACATTATAAAGAACTTTTAATTACGAGGAATCTACCTCTCGTGCAATTCAATGGAGGTCACAGAAAGCGTAGCTAACCTTCAACAAAGATGCGAAACAATCGACCATAAAGTAAATTGATAAACAGCTTCCATCTTCAGACTCCTTATTTAAGTGCATCAGAACCATTACAAACAGGAGAATGGCTAGAAAATATTCAATTACATGGCATCCGCGTAAACCGAGGCCGGCTCTGTCATAACAGTTTAAGTTGGCTGGCAAATCGGCGTAGTTAATGCAACAAGATGGTTAGATAACGGCCGGGTAGACAGAGCAAATACTTGCTTTTATGAGGTGGATGTTATCGGGGCTCGCGATCGCGGGAGCTTCGACTAGAAGCCACCAAAGACGAACCAAGTAGCCCTGTGATTGTCAAGCAGTTACGTTACGTTGCTTGATTAAAGCAAGTTTTATTCCCGTGCGGATAAAGTTACCAACTGTAATTCTCATAATTTATTTTTATAGTTACTTAATTTCTCAAGTTATATATATCTGGAAAATAAGTAACAAATGCAACGAAGGCTTTAATATACCTACGAGTATAAATATTGTTATTGGTACAGGATGCAAAATCTTCTTGTGAGAAAAAGTCATAAGTCTTACATAATAAATTAACAGTTTCATTCGTCAAGCAACATAACCGCAACAGCGAACACGAGGATTTAAGTGCCAGTTCATTCAAACAAACCAAACTTTCGTAAAATAAAACACCCTTTTCAAAGAATTGAAGCCATAATACAACAAGTAGTCAAACAAACACGATGTAGAACAAGGAACAACTTCCCCCTATCATTACATACACTCTCTAAACAGAATTCTATCGACATTGTACAAATGCCACAATCTATGCAGATAAATGAATCGATAGCGCGCCGCCGCTGTGTCCGGTCACACTTCCTTGCCTTAACAATGACGAGGTACTACCTACCTGTGCAAAGATGGAGGATGGATAGCACCGCCACTGTGGTAACTGTTAAAAGCTGGCCTAGTATTTTCATTACCGAGCCGTGAATTAATTTGTTTCCATGACCATGAACATGTTAAGCTTGAGAACACTAGATTAGGCGATGAATTGATGTTCAATGAGAAAAGAAACCAAATCAATGAATGATGAAGAAACAGGCACCTGAACAAGATCACCAAACAGTACTCTAAAGAAATGTAGGCAATAATTAATATTATGACTATTTCTGTAAGCAGTGCCGTTGATGTAGGTACGTTAAATAACTTTATATCGTCACAACGTGACTTAAAAGAAATGTAACCATTTACGCCCGGTTCCTATAATTGAGAAACGATCCGTTTTAATTACGAATAGTAGTTTTATATACGACTCGTAAGCTAAAACCGTTCCTATAATAAAAGTCTCGTCGTGCAACTTACTGACGGTTTGCAACTAACGGATATCGGTAAGCGAATTGTATGGAGATCTATGGTGTCTGTGTGTTTCTATAAATATTTTAACCGTCAGTAGACGGTCAAGATAACCATTCGTAATGTCATTTGGTCGTATTGCGTGTACAACGACGATTCGTTAAATATAGGAACCGGGCATTAGTGAACAATCGACGCTTGTCAGTGACGCATAAAACCAGGCGTTAGTCAATGTAATACTACTCACGGTAAAGCTCTTAAAACAAAACACTGCTTTCTTTATCACCACACTGTTAAAGAACAAGAGTGTAGTCACGCCCTACATAGCTTTCCCATTATAATAACTATAGGGCGAGAAGTCGATGAGACATTAAGTTGGAGAATAATGGGCCGTAGCACCATTTCTGGTCGTAAACCGCCGATACAGTGGCCGGACACCAATCCGACCTAAACATAGGCTGCTCACAATGTTACCACATGTTCAAGACATGGAAATGTTAAGGTGCGCTCACTGTTGTTGGAATTCAAAGGCTCAGTTGCTTTATATTAAGATAATACAGAACTCTGCTTCAAATGCTATCTCTATTTTGACGATGTGAGATTTCATAAAAATGCAATCGGTGCCTCCACTGAGACTTGCGGAGGCGTACAATGCACACAGACAGAAGCACATAACAGAGAAAATTCAATTATTTAGAGGCAGAACATCTATCCACGTTATTATGACCCCTCTCTTATTATAAACGAGCGAATGGAGAGACATGTATCACTAGTATTGTTCGTAGACCACGCGAATCTCTTTCATGCCAACGCCCACGTTCTTATTGAGTCTTAACTATTGCTACAAAATGCATAAAATATATTCTATGACTACGATTTGATCTTTATGTAGCAACACCTTTATGTTATCTTGTATATTAGCCCTGTGTTTGGCCCGAAGGGCGACGTATGGAGCGCGTGCGGCCCGAAGGCGCCAAGTTAAATTGCGTAGATTACTCGTCATCACTACCCGAGCAATCTACTCCACGCCCCTGCACCGACGATAACAGATTCTTATTGAATACAATCTGCATGGCGCGTCGTATTCATGCACGCACAACACGCGCCCGTTAATAACAGCCAAACACAGGTACGAGACAAAGTAAACACATGTTTATAATTATAAATACATATTTAAAACAAACCTAGCATCTCGCCACGTCTATAATTAACCACGGGAAGAAAGTGCGTGAGAGTAAATTGTTTAATTGTGATATACGTAGCGGGGCTGCGCTTGCGCCACACGCAACGAAAAGAAACATGGCGCCTAGCAGGGTACTGTTACTAAAATAAACAGCTGTCAAAGGGGGGAATGATGGTGAAAACAGTGACCGGAAGACAATAATAAATCCCATGAACTAAAAAGAAATATTTTGTCTACAAAAATGCCCTTTCTCTGCGTTAGCAGTTTGTAGTGTACCTAGAGCGAGAGCGTGGCTACGTTACGGAAACTTTATCTGGATTAGGATCGACGACGTGCTAAGGTGCGTTAAACACGGACGCACTTAACATAATAAGATCGGGTAATTTCAACTATAGAATATTGGCAATTATTACTGTACTCGTGTAATACCCGACATGGATGTGAGATAGCGTGATAACGTGGCGAGTGGCGAGAGGGCCAGGGTGTGCGCCTGTAAGGTGTTCGATATCAGAAGTAGTTGTCCGGTTAATGGGTTTACGCCTCTGCATCGCGCGGTTTTGCTCTACAAACGCCACGAGTAATAATACCAAGTTAATGATATCTGCGGTAATGAGAGACCGCGTAACTTTATCATACGCGGAACGACAGGAGAAACTGTTCTTCGTTTTCAAATGAAAGGCAATACATTACGTTGTTGCAGAGAGCAACGTTTGTGCACTTTCTCGACAATTTAAATTTAATGGGCATCAATGACAAATCGCATTTACACCGTTCCCGTTCGTAATCAACGCCATCGATACTTTGTAACATTTATTGTACGCAACATTCTTTTCATCATCATGTGTATGATTATTCGTTTCTTTAATTTTAATGGAAAATCAATTGTTCGCCTCGGGCACTTTAAACAGCCAACCACCAGCAACTCGTGAATAAAAAATAAAGTCATTTGCATGGGTGATTTGTGGTAGGTACGAAACGCGGTCAGATAAACGCCCAGTTCAGCCTAGGTAAGCTCATATTGATTTTCCGTGTAGGAACATGTAAAACGGGAATGTTGGCTTGTGACAACGGTAGATAGAAACAGTTGAATGTATCAAGACTTAACTCAGATTTACGACTGCCTCTTATCAGTGGCTTACAGCTGAACATGTAGGTTCGCGATGTAGGAACAAGGAACGTGTGCGTGGCTCGATACCAGACAGTTACACAAGTACTTTGCTCTCATGTACTTTCAAGACTCTGTTTGCTAAAACGGATAGACGAAACCGATTAATTAAATTTTGAAGATTTTTTTGAAACTTTTCCTATCGATATCAACACTTATAGATACATAGTGCAGCACAATAGGAAATCCTACAACTAGCTATGTAGGTTGCTTGTTACAGTTTCTCATAAAATAAATTACCTATGTGTCCATGAAAAAATTGCAACTCAATCACATCGTTAACTACAAGGCAAACGCCAATGCATCACCAATTATCGAATTAAATTTACTTTTATAGAAATATCAATCGATATCTAACTCGATAATAGGGTCTAAGTAGGTAGA